TCTGCTGATTCCATGAAGCTATGTTATGATAAAAGATCTATTGAAGTCAGCTTTGTACCAGGAGACAAGGTGTGGTTGTATAATCCCAGGAAGACCAAAGGGAAGTCTCCCAAGTTGTCATCTCCATGGGAAGGCCCATATGACAGTGGATCGTCTCTCAGACGTGACTTTCTGAATAAAATGTGATCAGTGAGGTTAGCCAAAGGTGGCACGTGCCAACAGGCTTTGGCGTTATCATGGTCCAGGCCATTTCAGTTGGGACAAAGTGAACAACGGAACAAATGACGCTGCTGAAGAAGTGTCACCTGAAAAAGCCAATGTTGAAGAAGAAACTCTACTCAGTTTTGAGAAGGGAAACAGTGAAGCTGTTAATGAAGTTACTACCACTGATGTGACTGTTACCAATAATGGGACATTTCCTGATAGAGCAGATGAACGACTCGTGAAGCAGAAGCCAATGTAACAGAGACCAGTACGGAAGAAGAAACGTCTAGGAAAAGACTTTGTTATATTTTAATTTTGTTTGTAAATTCTGTACATATAATTAAGTTATTGTTAATTTTCTATTGTTTGGGACGAACAATACTAAGGAAAGGGCAGTGTTACGACAGCGGAAGTCACGTGATGCTAGTAACACGTCACGAGATTCTAGAAGGATCATGTTTGTTTGTGGCAACTCTAGTCTTTTCTACGCACCCTCTATTCTTGTATATAAGCACGCCAGACAATGGATCAGAACGAGAATAATTGCAGATTGAAGAGATAGAGACAGATAATCGATTCAAGTCATAAGTAAAATGAGTGAATCGTTGTGAATTATAGCGTGTGTTTAAGTTAAAGTGACTGTGGAAATTCTGTGTATTGCAAAGTTGTATTGGGAAAGAATAAACTAGTTTTATTTAAGAAAGAACTTGTATCGCTGAAGTTCTTCGGGAAGAAATTTTACGGGATATTAACAAACAAACAGAGACGTAACAATAGCTATTTTCACAGTATATAAGAATATTTTGAATAAATCTATCATAATTCAAAACTAGAGGTTATCAGTAATTTTAACCATGATTTTTAAAACTGCTATTGTGAAATTACTCAAACAGTTACATTTTTTCTAGTAGCAGAGAAAACATTTTTTGTTGACTGGTGTTACCCCCTATGGGTTCATTTACAAATATGATGATGACAAAGACATTGCTATTTGGAACACAAAGATTTATGTAGCTCATGCATTAATTGTATCAAACACATTTTTCCTGCAACCTTGTAAATAAAACAAAAGTGATTCCTCTTATGATGTCACTGAGTTTACCACAATACAATTCTTTTTTTTATTTTCTCTTTGAGTAAATGTACTTTTTTTTAGCTATTTATTCATGGGTATCTTTTGTAGAATGCATTGGTTATTCTATAAATGTACACATTCAATTTTGAATTAATAGTCACACAGATTTTGTTTCATTAGCTTTATTTAAAACATGATCAAATGGATCACATTAAGCTGGTATTTACATATTACATGAATAACAAAGTTTCAATATTACTTGTCACACAAACACTAAAGATCATTTTTGACATGCAGAAAATGAGCCATATTCTAATTTTTAACATTAGATATTATTACAATTACTGACCATCTACATTCAATGTTCATAAAAAAGCCGAGTTAAGACAACTTAAGCTTTTTAAAGCAAAACTAAAATATGCAAGTTTTTTTATTATTGTTACAAGTTATCACCTAATCTTTATAAGCAATAATTAACAAAATGTTTAATATACATGATGCACAACTATTGACGTTGTATATAGTGATTAGATTGTGCGTGTTTCAACATATTAATCTTGCATGTTTATACACTCAAGTGGTTTAAATGACACTTTTATATAACATTAATGCCATAGCTTCTGAAGCTGTGTCCATGGAATTGTCCAAGCATTATTTTGTTAATGACCAAACAACGTAACTCAGAACAAATGCCTTTGAAAAAATAAAACATTTCAATTAGTTTTTTTTTTCTTTTGTTAACAGATAATATAAATACCATGTCTTAAGCCATCAACTGTCATTCATTTGTTAACTGGTTTTACATCATTATTAAACAGTTCTATACTTTATATATTAAAGAGTTTAAAGGCAGGTTACTATTTACAAACAAGATTTTGTAATATTTTTGCATAAGCATACATTTCTGAAGGCAAAAAAAAATCCATCCAAGAAAGTCATGTTTTAGTTAAATACAAAATGTATCCAACAACAAACTATATCAATCACAATTCAAGACTCTTTAGGTGGTTAAAGATTTACACAAAATAGGGATCACAAGCTTTCTGCTGTTTCAACAACTGGACATTGTTTTAAAACATGACCAAAGATGAACAAATATAAACAGAAATATTAGCAATAGAACTGCTGCATGATCTAATACTCATCCATAAAGTGGCAAACTTAGCCTGATACTCAAACAATTACCACTGGTACGGTACATAAAATTGTAATAGAAACATAAGACTTTCAATCTGTGAACATAAATATTTCAATTGTATACAGGATAAAACAAGAACCATCTAGCATGATCAGACAATCTTTGGTTAGAACTTAAGTTTTCAATACACCAAATTTGTGAAAAGAAAATTAACCAGAAACTTAGGACATAAATAGTTTGTTTTTGTTGAATTTCACACAGTTACTTGTCTACTTTTGGAGTGATAAACTAGAAGGAAGGCAGCTAGTTAACACCACCCACTTGGGCTATTCTTTACCAACAAAAAGCAGGACTGACTGATAGAGCAAGCATGTTCAGCAAGAGATTTGGAGTCAAGCACCTTAATTGCCACAATTGTGATGTAGCAATAATAGTATTTCTGTAAAAATAAATAACTTTATGGCTGTCACCAACAATCAAGGATAAACAACACCTGACTAACAACTGACTACTATAAGAGAAAAAAAAAATATTCACGGCCAAGATGAAACATCACAGAAACCGATAGCAAGTTTAACCATGAAGGTATTTCTAGAATCAGGAGATATGCTCATTTTTACTCTATGTGTGGAAGACATGAAATAGATCCATTTTGACAGATAAGACATAGAACCAATAATAAACTCAAACACAGGAAGTACCATTCTACAATAAATAATTCCAAACCATTAAAATAAGGTGATAAGATGAGGAAATGAACATAACTTCCAACACATTATAATCCAAGATTATATTCAGCTTTCATAAACTATAGCTGAAGAAACAGCACAAACTACAGACATACTATTATCGGCATTCTAAAAGTACCAGCTCTCAACAAAAACACGAAACGTTAATCAATTATTAAAAAACTATACAATATGTAAATTAAGTAATTAATGATAGAATGACAAGTTAAACACTATATTGTCTTCTTCTATTAGCATTTGATTAGGAATTATTTAAATTCAAGACACCTCACTATCTGAACTAGAACCAGAAAGTCCTCACAACAGTTCCAAGATGCCGAACTCCTAAACTAGAACCAGAGGGTCCTCAACAGTTACAAGATGTCAAACTCCTAAACTAGAACCAGGGGGTCCTCACAACAGTTACAAGATGCCAAGAGGGTTCTCACAACAGTTACAAGATGCCAAACTCCTAAACTAGAACCAGAGGGTCCTCACAACAGTTCCAATATGCCAAACTCCTAAACTAGAACCAGAGGGTCCTCACAACAGGTCCAATATGCCAAACTCCTAAACTAGAACCAGAGGGTCCTCACAACAGGTCCAATATGCCAAAATCCTAAACTAGAACCAGAGGGTCCTCACAACAGGTCCAATATGCCAAAATCCTAAACTAGAACCAGAGGGTCCTCACAACAGGTCCAATATGCCAAAATCCTAAACTAGAACCAG